ATTTATTTTATATGTGAAAGTGATTATGATTACCTTCCTTTCTTCTTCCAACAATTAGCCTGAAGGTATTGAAAAGGAGATGACGCAGGGCTCCCTTATTTGCACACATGGTAAGTAGGCACCTTTACATGGTCTTGCTAACATGGCAACATTGAATGGAAACTCTGATTGCTTTTGTTTGGCAATTAAGTGTTTTATTGTATATCTTCTCAGAAACATGGGTACTGAGAATGATTAAATTACTTTTAAATAACATTTAAACATTCTATAAGCCAAAGCAAATTTAAAACTTTTAGGTCTTCCTTATTCCTTTTTCCCCAATTCAGAAATCCAGGTATCTTTGACTTTAACCCTTGTCTCTACTCCTTAGTGTCTCCCCATGTAAACCTTAATTATGTCATTTAAAATAATTATTACGGTTATAAAATATCTGTCCAAGGACCCCAACCAGAGCAGAATTATCACTAACTATTTAATATATGTCATTTCTAGGGCTTTCTCTTATCATCCCACCTGTGAGCCAAACTCCGAAAAGCTTTTTTTTCTGCTTCAGAGATCCATTACCTATATGGAACTTTGACTCATATCCACTGCGTAAAAATCTTTATATTCCCAAAACTGCAATAATTAGTTTGTCCTATAAATTCACTTTTATTAAATAATTTATTTTGTGTTTGCTGTCACTTGTATCTTTGTTTGTCCGAATGTTAGAAGAACCAAAGCTTCCTATTATTACAGAAGCCAGAGATCTCATTTCATTTTCTAGTATTTATTAATGCCTTAAGAAGCACACTGAGATCGTGGGGTATTTCATCACCCATGCGGGAATTACACTGACCCTGAATTCAAACAGCCTTGGTCCGGACTCTGTGTTTTATTATTTATAATTGTGTATTGTTCCAAGTCTCTCTCTCGCTCGCTTTCTTTTTTTTTTTTTTTTTTTTTTTGGCCTGAGCATTCTCTTCTACACCAAGAAGGGAGAAACATATTCAGCCTTACCATCCTTTAAGTTATTTTGTGAAAAAACAATAAATAATGTGTGTGAAAGGACATAATAAATTATACTGTGCTCTTCAAAGTTAAGGTTTTAGCATATGTTAAATTGTAATTGATTGTAAAATTTTTTAAGTAAATCTAATTAGTTATAATTATCGGAATCCCTTTGACCTTTCTTTTTCTGATTATTTTAGAGTTGGGAATAGTCAGTAACGAAAGAATAAGTGATTTATTAATCAAGAAGATGAATTATAACCAAAATCAAAATCCTGGTTTTTAAAATAAATGAGAGCTCTAAATTAATAAGTTCACTTTACTGCTTCCTAGGATCCACAGTGTCTCAACCAGTAGTGCTAACTTCACCAGAAAATCTTGTGAAAGATTCAGATAGAGCTTATTGGTCTGTCCTTGGTAAGTCTGCAAAACAATGCAATACAAAGGCTTGGAATAAAAAGAAAAATTATGCCTATTTCTGTGGTGCTCCTATCTGTTACTTTTGTCGTCTATTTTGGGTTTCATTTCTGCCTGTGAATTTGATGATTGAGGTTGGTATATCTGACTAGATACTCAACCACACCAAGAAATTAAGTGCTGATGCCCCCAAGGCACACACTTTCTGGTCTTTTCCTTTTTTTTTTTTTTTAAATTAAATTAAATTTATTTATTTATTTATTTACTTACTTATTTATTTATTTACTTATTTACTTACTTACTTACTTATTTATATATATTTTGTGTGTGTGTGTGTGTGTGTGTATGACTGGTAAGGGGATCGCAACCCTTGGCTTGGTGTCACCCACACTGCGCTCAGTCAGTGAGCGCACTGGCCATCCCTATATAGGATCCAAACCCACGGCCTCAGTGCTCCCAGCACCGCAATCTCCCGAGTGAGCCGCAGCGTCAGCCCAAAATTTATTTATTTTTATTGAAGCATAATTGATTGTACTTATCTGTGGGATACAGCATTAAATACCAATATCTGTGTGCAATATGTGATGCTCAAATCAGTATAATTAGTATATTCAGCATTACACAATATAATCATTATTTGTGTTCTTTTACTAATTTCTCGCTAACCTCCCCCTCGTCCCCCTTTCCCACCTCTAGTAGACTCAGTTCAAAAATAAAAATAAAAATAATAAATTAGAAACGAATAAAAAAATTTAAAAAGAAAGATACAACAATCAATATAATTCATTGAACTTTCAAAAGGAGAGAACAGAACTGTGGTTTCTTCTTTTTTTAAAGGTCATTTAACTCTAGCACATAAAAATTTAGTCTCATTGTTAGCATTTCTGGCTGATGTCCCATGTAAAGACACCTTGGTAAAGAAAAATTCTGATATTTTCTCACAAACCAGTGATTTTTAGAACACAGTATGCTGAAGTGGTTAACATCGATATTTGGCTTCTTTGGCATTGGAACTGTAACGCTCAGGTAGGAGCAGATGGCATTCCACACAAAGGCAACGGTCCCTCTGGGCCAATGACTAAAACCAGAAACTCCTAACTTACAGGCCCTATGAACCTAGAGCCTCAGTGACATGCCTTAACAGGAATCAAGAGCAACCATAAGACACTTTCAGATATAGAAACATGAAATATATGCCAAAATTAAATATTATATGTACTTGTCATTGCTCCCCTGTTGAAAAACAGAAAACTGAAACTACTTCCTTGCTCACTCAAGATTTCAAAGATAGTTAACGCCATGGTTTATTTCTGTAATTTTTAAAAACTCATGGACTGTTTAGCCCCTACCTTCTACTTCCCACCTTTATACAGCCCAGGGTAAAGGTTTAAGATGGAGATCTAAAGAATACAGTGGAAGGGACTCTGCTCTCCATGTGGTATTATGGTTAGAACTTCTGTTGTTGCAGTAGAAAAAGTGTAGGCTGGAGAAATGCTCATAAGGAAAAAAAATCGTACATCCTCTAGGATCCAAACCAAAGAACACCTGGGCTTCCCTGAGCTTTTGACTTAAAGCAAATTAGTTCCATCATCAAAATGGTGTCCAACAAATATGTCACAGACACTAGACACTTGTATTCATCACAGTCATCCTGAACTTTTGTTTTTCTTCTGTGTTCTTATTTGCAAATGGTTCAGTTTTCATGCATTTAATGAGCTGTTGAATTCAGTTTGCTAGTATTTGGTCAAGGATTTTTGCGTCTATGCTCATATTAGTCGGTATCTGTTGCTTGTAACAGAATATCTGAACCTGGGTAACGTAGAAAGGAATGAAATTTATTTCTTACACTTTTGGAGGCTGGGAAGTCCAAAGTTCAGGGGACATATCTGGTGAGGGCCTTGTTGGTGGGTGGTGACTCTTCACAGCAATGCTAGGTGTCACATGGCAAATGTCTGAGCAAGACAGAGGGCTAAGACTGCTCACTCACTCTCCTTATAAAACCATCACAGACACGCCCATTACTCCATGAATGGATGAATCCATTCACAAGGGTACAGTCTTCACAATCAAATCATCTCTTACAGGCTCCATCTTTCAATCACTGTAACAGGATTTCCCACCCTCATCACTGTCACAGTGGGGATTAATACATGAACCTCTAGGGGACACAATTCAAACTGTAGCTGTGTTCACCAGGAAACTTGGCCTATGGTTTTCTTTTCTTATAGTGTCCTGGCCTGGCTTTGGGATCACAGTAATGCTGGCCTCATAAAATGAGTTTGGAAGCATTCCCTCCACTTCAATTTTTTTGGAAGAGTTTGAGAACAATTAGATTCAGCAGTGAGGACATCAGGCTCTTTTCTTCGATGGAGGACTTTTGATTACTGATTTATTCTTCCTGCTCACTGTTGGTCTGATCAGATTTTCTCCTTCTTGATTCGATCTTGGGAGGTTGTGTTTGTTTAGGGACTTACACATTTTCTCTAGCTTCTCCAATTTGTTGGCATATAATTGTTCATAGTGGTCTCTTATGATTCTCTGTGTTACTGTGGTGTCAGTTCTAATGTCTCCTCTCTTACTTCCAATCCTACTTATTTAAATCTTCTCTTTTTTTATACCTAGTCTAGCTAAGGGTTTGCCAATTTTGTTTATCTTTTCAAAAAATTAATTCTTAGTGTTGTCGATTTTTTCCTATTGTTCTTCTGGTCTCTCTTTCATTTATTTCTGCTCTGACCTTTATTTCCTTCACTTCTGCTGACTTTGGACCTAGTTTGTTCTTCTTTTTCTAGTTCCTTCCACTGTAACGTTAGATTGTTTACTTGAGATCTTTATTGAGACAGGAGTTTGTTGTTATAAATTTGCCTTTTGAGACTGCTTTTGGTGCATCTTATAACTTTTGGTATGTTGTGTTCCCATTTTTATTTTCCTCGAAGTATTTTCTTATTTCTCTTTTGATCTCTTCTTTTACCCATCGGTTGTTCAGTAGTGTGCTGTTCCATTTCCACATGTTTGTGACTTTTCCTCCTATTTATTTCTAGTTTTATACAATTGCGATTGGAAAAGACACTCCACATGATTTCAATTTTTGGACTGTGTAGGTTCTTTACAGTGGCAGGGCATAGTGAATAAGAGAATTGACCCTCCCAGAAGGCTGCCTTACGTTTGGATCCCAGATTCACCACTTGCTGTATCACTTTGGGCAAGTTACCAAATGGCTCTGTGCCTCACCTCCTCATCCTTTAAATGAAGATAATGGTATTACTTATTTCATAAGATTTTTATAAAAATTAAATTATTATTAAATTATTAAATTATTGAGATAGTTCTAGATACAATGTAAGTGTTGGGCATTCATAGAAAATGGGACGTGGTTAAGTCCAGGCACTCTGAAGCCACTCTGTGCTCAGTTTTTGAGTCTGTTGCATCTTTTTTGAATGATTCTGGGAAAAATTTTAACCTCTCTGTGCCTCAGTTTCATCCTAAATGGGAATAATAGTACCTATTTATATTATTGTTACAAGGACCGAACAAATTAGCATGAGTGAAGTGCTCAGGACAGTATCTGAGAAATGGCACGCATTTCGTCAGTGTTCCTTTTGGGCCCATATTCTGCTCTTTTTGAGTGGATGATTGACCTGGGAGCTCTCCAGGAATTTTGATTCCCATAAATTTTTGTTTCTTTTGCTCCTGGTCATGCTCCACATATCTCCACCTCAGTTCTGGAAACAAGGTCCTAAGGGGTCTTGCCAATTCTATAGTGTGGGCCCAACTAGTAGATAAAAAATTATTTTGAATATTCATAACAGAGATCTTAAACACAAACTAATATTATTTATCTTATCAATTTTTGTGAAGTACTTCATATAGATTTGATTGACTTTTCAGGAGACATTCTTGGTTCTGCCATGCAAAACCTACAGAATCTTCTCCAGATGCCTTTTGGTTGTGGAGAGCAGAATATGGCCTTATTCACTCCAAGTATTTACATCTTGGACTATCTGAATCAGACTCAACAAGTGACAGAAGAGATAAGATCCAAGGCTATTGGATACCTGGCCACAGGTAAAGCATTTAAAAACTTATTTTATCTCTGCTACATCCCTGAATTCCAGCTGTTTTTCTTGAGAAGTTACATGAATATATTTTTATGTTCTAGGATATCAGAGGCAGCTGTCTTATAAACACTCAGATGGATCATATAGTACCTTTGGACATAAAGATGAAGATGGAAACACATGGTTTGAATTTATCATTTATATCAGATGTTAATTAGATGCTTTTAAACTCTTACGTTATTAAAGTAGATTTTTGAGAATTTTATAAAAAATATGGGCTTTATTCCCCAAAACTATTTATATAAAAGCCTCCACACACATATACACATTCTTTTAATAGGCTTCTTGAGCTCTTGGATTAAAGAATAGTATTTCTATCTTTTATTTACCAAAAAAAAAAAAAAAAGCATACTAAATAAACAAGTCACTAGGCAAAGAAAAAGTAACTCAATAGGGCAGGAAAGGGATGTGAAACCACATTTATAATGCAAGCAAATTACTCCAGTTGAAACAACAAATCCTAATTCAGCCTCAAAGACGACTTCAACGTCATTTGAGCTCACTGAAGGTGCCACTCAGAAATCGTGCTGTGTAGATATGTCCTCTTCTAATGAGACATTAAAATCCATATTTGCAGAATGATACTTGCTACAAGTAGTAAAATAAGAACTGAAACCAAAATAAATTGAGCATAGATTGTATTATTACTATAAGCCTAAAAAACAGGGTGATTAGTGAGATGCAACTTGTTTTAAAATTTACTTCTTATATTATTAACTTTTACTTATAAACCCGTATTTACCCCTAGCTACTATGTCCTGGAAACAGTAATAAGTCCTTGAGATACAAAAAGACAAATGCTAATAATAATTACTATTATTTCTTTTATAATTGAGTATAAATCTCCATAACAACTCAATGGGGCAGGTAGCATTATAGTACCCATTTTACATAGGAAGAAACAGGAACTCAGTATATTAATTTGCTAGGGCTGTCATAACAAAGTACCACAGACTGGGTGGCTTAAACAACAGAAATTTATTTTTTCAAGATTCTGGAGTCTGGAAGTCCAAGATCAAGGTGTTGACAAGGTTGGTTTCTTCTGAGACTTCTCTCCTTGGCTTACAGATGGCTGTCTTCTCCTATGTGTTCACATGGTCTTCTGTCTGTGCATGTCTGTGTTCAAATTTCCTCCTCTTATAAGGACACCAGTCATATTAGATTATGGTCTACCAAATGACTTCATTTTAACTTATCTCTTTAAAGACCTTGTCTCCAAATGCAGTCACATTCTGAGGTATCAGGGATTAGAGCTTCAACATATGAACTGGGGGTGGGAGGAGGGGCATAATTCAGCCCATAACACACAAGAGGGATTAAGTAATTTGTCCAAACCCACACTGTTAATTATGTGGCAGAGCTTAACTGTCTGTTCCAGAATCTGAGCTTTTACCATCTACATTGTTTTTCCTCTCAATGGTACATGCTCCTTGACCTCAAGAAGTCTGGAGTTCAGTAGGCAGACAAGTAAGAAAAAACACAATGTGACACAAGATGTAATAGAAATATGCACATGAAGGTACAGGAGCTTATAGGCATGAAAGCTTTTCCAGAAACTGTATGATGGCATGTTGGACTAAATGCAGTGCATATTGTACACACTGATGAATCGGACCTAGCATGTACCTGGAAGGAATGCCAGTCTGCATAGGAGAAGAATACATCTGCAAGCATAACCCTAGCTTATTGTGTATGGAACCATTTAAACCCTCTGGGTCACAGGTCATCATCTGTGAAAACAAAGTACATATGCCTCATCTTGGCTTCTAAGATACTCGTATGTTTCTAATTACAACATTTTGTAATTCCTCAAAAGCTCTTAGGGGTTGAGAGGACAAATGCAGGATTCTATTTTTGCTTGAAGTGGAGATAAAAGAATCTGTGAAGATGTCACAGAGGAGGTCACCCTTCATCTAGGACACGAATGATGAATTGGGAGGAGAAAAAGGAGGCACATAAACCAAATGAGTGGAGGTTTGAAAAAGATGGGTGAATTGACACATCAGGCTAGAATTTGAAAAGGAATTTTCAGGATGTGAACCATAAAAATTGAGTTGTAGCAACTCACACGTTTTAATGAGAATTTGTCTGCATCTCAATGTTCATTAAAAATATGTATATAATTTTTTTCCAGGCTCACTGCACTCGTTTACAAGTCATTTGCACAGGCTAAACGTCACATTTATATTGATGATGAAGTTCAGTCCCAAACCCTTATTTGGCTCTTAAATAGTCAGAAATCAGATGGCTGCTTCCTCAATTCTGGCAAAGTCTTCAACAATGCTTTGAAGGTACTAATGAAATTCTGCCTCACAGTTTTCTATTCTTTTGCCATGATCATTTAGTGAATCCCAAAGTACCACTGAAGAAATTGGTAGAAATAACTGAACTGAAATTTCTGCTAGCATAAATTAATTATACTGAAAACCAATAATGTCTTCTTAACAAATGGAACATTTTCTTTTCTTTAGTCAAATTAAAAACTTTAGAATATTCTTTTAAATTTTTTTAAAAGATAATTTATTTTACATACATGTGGGGTACAATGTTGATTGTCAATAATTGTGTACAATTTGTGACAGATCAGGATAGTTAGCTTATTCATCATTACAACACACAATCATTCTTTGTGTCTGTTAACAAATTCCTCATTAGCCCCCCTCCTCTTCCCCTCCCCTTTCCACCTCTAGTAATCACGAGTCTTTTCTATCTTTCTAAAAGTTCAGTATATCACTGTGATTGTTGTTTCTCTCTTTCTCTCTGTCTCTCTTTATTGTTTATCTGTTTATTTCTGGATTCAACTCCTGGTTATGAGCAAGAACACACAGTATTTCTCTTTCTGTACCTGGGTTGTCTCACTTAGTATAATTTTCTCCAGCCTCATTCATGCTGCTGCAAATGGTAGAATTCCATTCTTTTTTATGGCTGAGTAAGTTGTCCATTGTGTATATGCACCACAGTTTCCTTATCCAGTTGTCTGTTGATGGACATTTAGGTTGATTCCATCCCCTGACTGTTGTAAATAGAGCTGTAATAAACACGGGAGTGCAGTTATCTCTTTAATCTGATGATCTTCAGTCTTCTGGTTATATTCCCAGTAGTGGAATTGCTGGATCATATGGCAGTTCTATCTGTAGTTGTTTGAGGAACTTCCATACTGTTCTCCTTAATGATTGTACTGATTTATAGTCTCGCCAACAGTGCAGAAGGGTTCCTCTTTCTCAACATCCTTGCCAGCATTTGTTATTCTCTGTCTTTTTTGTAATAACTTATCTGACTGGGGTGAGGTAATATCTCAAAGTGTGTTTGATTTGCATTTCCCTGGTGATTAGTGACGTTGAGCATTTTTTCAGGTACTGTTGGCCATTTGTATGTCTTCCTTTGATAAACATCTATTCAGCTCCTTTGCCCATTTTTAAATTGGATTATTTGGGTTTTTTCTGTAAAGTGGTTTAAGCTCTTGGTATGTTCTGGATACTAATCCCTTTTTTGATGCATAGTTTGCAAATATTTTCTCCCATTTTGTAGGTTGTCTTTTCACGCTGTTGATTGTTTCCTTTGCTGTGCAGAAGCTTTTCAGTTTGATATAATCCCATTTGTTTATTTTTTCTTTTGTTGTCTGTGCTTTTGGGGTGTTATTCATAAAGTCTTTGCTCAGTTCTAAATCCTGGAGTGTTTCCCCTATGTTAACTCTAGAAGATTCTAACAATAGTTGTGGTGATGGGGTGGGTGCAGGGGCAGAATTATTAGCAAAAGTATGAATGGAAGTAGGAATAATAACAGATCCTGGATAATTACTAATAGTTTCATGCTTTATCACTTAAAAAAGTATGTATTAATATTGTTTTATTATTAGAAATCAATTTGTTTCTTACTTGACAATACTCCCAAGGTAAGTATTAATAAATGAGCTTTATTTCTGAACTTTTCCTAAGCTTACATTTTCTTCATAATTATTATAGTAGCCCTTATTTATTAAAAGTAGCTAAAAGATTTAATATTAGGAATTAACCAAAATATTATCCATATGTCAACAACTCAGAGATAATCGCCACTAATATTTTGGCAATATTTTCCTTCAGGCTTTTTTCCTATGCTATATAAACATAATTGGGATTATCCTGTACTGACTTTTTAGTCCTCCTTTTTTGTAACCTGCCATTATATATAATGACTTTGCCATGTCATTAGCATAAGTTAAAAACAAAAAATTAACAGTTTTGTATACTCCGTGATATGGATAAACCATAACTTGTTTATTACTCTTTTGTTAAGCTTTTGATAATGTTTAATAAACTCAAAATAATGTTACATAAACATTCTTATACATAAATACGTGCTCCTAGGTCATACAATAGATACCTAGGAGTGTAATTTTTTAAGGTCGTGACATAATATCACCAGACTGATTTTTAGCTAAGTTGTACCAATTTATCTTCCCTTTACTTATAGAATATGCATCTGACATAGCATATCATTAACGCTAAGTAGTGTAAGAATGAGAACAAAAATCTTCAAAAATATAAGAGAAAAAATGATGGTGCTTCATGTCTCTCTTTTTTTGATACAGTTCAATTGGTTAAGAGACAAATATTTTTCATGTGATTATTTTCAGTTTGTATTGTTTCCTTCATAATTGACCTTTGAACTTTTGGGGCTACTTGGATTTATATTTACAACTAATATTATTGACCTGCTGGAATTCATTTCACTATATTGTATAATTTATACATGATTTATTTCTATATTTCAAATAGTTCACCACTTATTGTAACACTCCTATTAATTAATGCTGTCTGCCACTACTTGTTTTGATGCCAACCTTATCACATTGCTTTCTACGTGTGCTAGAATTTCTTTCTTCCCTACCTGTTCTATTGATTGACTTACCTTTCTATTTTATACTATAATCTTTTCATTATTATAGTATTATAGCATGCATCTTCCATGACACTTTCTGTATTATTTCTAGGATGAGGCTTGGATTAGAACTTTGGAGAGCATTCTATGCCTCTTTTGATTCTAAATACCATCTTAGGCCATAAGTTAATTTTACAAGTGACGTTCGTATTTCTGTAAATTCCCTGCCTTTTCATTCACTATTTCCTAATTTTATATATGGTTCCTTTTAAGGGCATGAAAAACTCTACCCCTCAAAAATATGGAAAGAAAACAACCAATCTGAGTTTTCACAATATATTGCATTTAAAAAGAAAGGTGTCCCTCCCTCTGAATTCCATGAGACTGACATGTTACCCCTACATTTTATTCAGGGAGAAGAAGATACTGAAATCTCTCTCACTGCATATGTTATCAATGCACTGCTTGAAGCGGGCCACCCCACCTCGGTATGTAGCCCACTGGTGATACCACTAATTTGCTTCTTATGAACTCAAAACATTTTGCACCAACAATACAGTAATAGAAACTAGAACTACGTTTTTGTAGTCACCACAAAATAATGCTAAATCAATATTCTTCTTAATAGTCAAATCACTCCGTGAAGGTAGAACTGTGTAGAAATTAAAACAAATGCATTGTTTTTGCCCTTTGAACATTTCAGCACAGACAAGATTCATTCCTGATTTTTTTCAGTAATGAACACATCTACATCTGTGTTTGCACATGTTTCTCTGTGCACAAGTGCTTCTTCTTTTTTTTTTTTTTTTTTTTTTTTTTTTGCAGTTTGTGGCAATTCAAAAGGGTCTCCGGTGCATAGATGCTGCATCTAGGGAGAGAGCTATGACTACCTATGACCAGGCTCTCCTGGCCTACATGTTCAGTTTAGTAGGCTATGAAGACAAAATGGAATTCTTCTTCAATGAGCTGAGCAAAAAGGCAAAGAAAGTAGGTGAGTGCCCTTGACCTTTCCTGGAGTTACATGTTGAGTAAGCAGAATGGTTAGCAGTGGTATAACTACCACCCCCTCATGTTTCTTCTTTCCAGTGGTCAGGTTTGCACTTCCTCAGATATCACTCACCTTACCACACGCACGTGCATCCCATGCTGTGACAGAGACACTATTGAGTTTCTTTCACTTTTTTGTCAGGTGGCTCAGTGTACTGGGAACTGGAAGAGCGATTTTCTGCAGAAGGATCGTCCTCTTTCTACCACCCTTGGGCTTCCTCTGCAGACATAGAGATGACCTGTTACGGCCTGTTGGCTGTTCTTTCCAAGCCACGTCTGACTTCGGAAGACCTGTCCTATGCTTCTCAGATTGTACAATGGGTGGCAAAGCAGCAAAATTCCTATGGAGGTTTCTCCTCTACAAAGGTAACTCTATATTTTTTAGGTTCCTAAATACGAGAAAATTGAGCATCTGCTTTGCCTTGGCAGTGTTGGTCTTTGAACTTATATATTACATTCTCTAATTAAATGAGTTTGTTGTCACTATTAAACTTGATACTGTTTTTTAATTTGCTGTCTTTTAGGTTTTTTGAAGATGTGGTATTTTATTTAGTAACTATCTCTAAATATTCAAAAGATAAGTTTCTTTTAATTTTTAAAATTGGAATTCAGATACCAACTTGCTAAAATTTCTGTGTAAAATTAAAGGCTTTTATCAGAAAAGGTGCATCAGTCTGCATTGTCCTCAGCAGTGTGTGAGGACCTTTCTCTACATAAATTCAAAATCGTTTGCAAAATCTCTTTCAATCTGATGCAATAAAAGCAGTAAGTCTTTCTATGTAAAAATGGTTTCTACTTAGTCTTCTTTTATTTCATGTGTTGTGAATTGTCTGTTGATATCATTTGCACATTTCCTAATAGGGGTATTAATCTTTCTCTCGATTATTTATAAGACTTCTGAACACAGCAAAGATACTGGCCTTACTAGTGCGTGTAACATCTGTGCCAAGTTTATATTTTCCTTTCAATTTTTATCACACTTTAAATATACAGATTACTTTTTTTTAATTTTCAGTTAATATAGTCACTCTTTCTAATGTTTACACTTTAATACTATGCTGTGAGTAGCAAGCACTCAACTCAAAAATAACGCATAAATATATAGCCAGACTTTTCTGAACTTTTATAGATTAATTCATTACATTTCAATTATTAATTCATCTAGGACATATTTTGATATGGATTTATTGTAGAGACCTCGCTCAATTTTTTTAAATGGCCACCCAGTTGTCTCAATGTCATTTACATAATAGTTAATTTTCCCACCCAATGATATGAAATTCTGTTCTTATTGGATAATAAAGCTATACATAGGGCCGGCCCGGTGGCACACTGGAGAGTGCGCCACTTGGGAGCACGGCGGCGCTCCCGCAGAGGGTTCGGATCCCATGTGGAGACCGGTTCCTGCTCACTGGCTGAGCGTGGTGCGGGTGCAACACCGAGGGTTGCGATCCCGTTGCTGGTCCCCGGTGCGGGCGTGACACCGAGGGTTGCGATCCCGTTACCGGTCAGTAAAAAAGACAAAAAGGAAAAAAATAAAATAAAATAAAGCTATATATATGTTTTTGTCTTGTTAGGCCTTCTATTCTTTCCCACTGACCTTTTGACCTTGTTGTGTGTTTTAATATCTGGTAGAACAGATGGCATTTTTAAAACTTCCTTGGTTCTGCTCACATTTTTATTCCATTAGATGATGTTTTTGTCTGTATTTAAGAATTGAACAGAAACGTTGCCATAAACCCTGTTTATTTTTGATAAACATACAGTGCTCAAAATAGTATAATTCACAAAACAGTGCTGAATGCACCAAAAAAAGTAATAGCATTTTAAATTATTTTTAAATAAGTCCCAACTATATTTGACTATGATTTCTAAATTCCACGGTATGCTCTAATACGATTTCTGCCATTATTATTTTAGGATACAGTCGTGGCCCTCCAAGCTCTGACTTTGTTCCAAAGGCTCACTTTCTCTAAGAACAGACAAAATTCAGTGCAAATCTTCTCTGACCAAGCATTCAACGTGGCCTTCCAAGTCAGTGAGGAGAGCCGCTTGCTGCTACAACGAGCCCCACTGCCAACAACTAAGGGAAACTATGTGGTGGAAGTGAGTGGCAATGGCTGTGTACATGTGCAGGTAAATTCAGGCTTTTTGCCCCCCTAACTTACCAAAAATTCCAAACATTGATGAAACAAGATCAAACAGTATAATACCAAAATTCAACAGTTCACATTTTTTCATATTTGCTTTGCCTTTTTTTACTGACCTTTTGACCTTGCTTTTTTCCTTTGCTGAAACTTGTAAATGAGAGACATCATACCACTCCTAAATATGTTATAATGCATCTCAAAAAATCATAATAATAAGGGTCTGCCATCTCGTAACTGCAATGCTGTTAGTTAACACAAATCGACAGTAGTTTATGGCATAATTTAATTATCAACCCTTTGTCCCCAAATATACTTTATAGTTTTTTTTTCAAATGAGGATTCAATAAAGGACCATGATTTGCAATTGTTTGTTATGCTTCTTTCATCTCTTTTAACCTAATATGTGTGTTATGGTGTTTTTTTGTATTTTTCATGACATTAACTTTCTGAAGAGAATATGCCAGTTGTGTTGTACAATTTCCTTCATTCTGGATTTTTGACATTGTTTTCTTTTTGGTGTCATTTAATTTCTTGTCCCATTCCCTGTGTTATCTGTAACTGAGAATGAGATCCAGTTATATTTTTCCATTAAAGGAGCTGTTATTTTCTCTTTTGCACCTAGCAATTAATATTTAAAGTGGTACATTGGAACCATGCAAATGTCAAGTTCAACATCAATTCTCACCTAAAAGTCTTAACAGGCATTGATGATCTTTGCCTGAATCAACTATTTCATTAAGAACTGCAAAGCGGTGATTTTCTAATCTTATCATGCCTTCTACTTGTATTAGCTGGCATTTCCACACTATATAGATATGCCAGAGTGTATTCAATAAGTCAGATATTGATGAACATTTGAGTTACATAGAACTGTAATAATAATGTGTATACTTCGTAGACTAGTTATATCTTCAGGATATATTTCTAGAAGTGCCATTATTAGGTCAAGTTAGGTTTTAACCAACCCTATTTCCAAGTTATATTGTTTTGAATTTAGATTTTACAATTTCCCTTTTAATTCATTCACTGTAATCCTGATATTCACCTTGATTCCTGTACCTCTGACATTATGTATAGTGATGTTATCAATTTCTTCAGGCTGAAATCAGATCATTTTAATTATCCAAAAGACAGCATAGATATATTCTAGCTCTGCTATTCATTACCTGTATAAGTTTTGACAAGTTACTTTACCTTGACATGTACTTGTATCTCTATACCTCATTTCCTTCATCTACAAAATGGAAGCTAAACATAGTATTGACCCACAGGGTTGTTGGAAATATTAAGGGAGTTTTTACATAAAAAGCACTTTTAAAAAGTAAATACATAGTATATGCTTAATAAGTGCTATTGTTACTGGTGTTACTAATGGTATAGAAAATAGGAAACACAGAGGTAAAAACTGACTTTTAATTTAAGTTGAAATGTTAATGTGGAGGTAATAAACTTAAAATTAATTATTTGGTTAATAAATGACATATTATATGTTTATTTAAGACAACTCTGAGATATAACATCCTGCTCCCCAAGAAGTCATCTGGGTTTTCCCTTTCTGTGAATTCAGCCAATGCTTTCTGCAAAGGATTATTTGATACACACTTTGACCTTGTTATTTCAGCCAGGTAATAACTTTTTTTGGTAAACTTAGACATGTCTCTACCTCTAATTTAGGTAGCCTAGAGTCTCTTTCTGTCTCTGTGTAAAACCACACCCCAATCATTTTATGTAAGAAATTGGCCTGTCTGGATCCTCTAAGGAAATATATTTCATCTTGCATAAATTATTGCAATAATTATTGTAGGGTGTATTAGTCTGTTTCTGTTATTTATAACAAAATACCTAAAACTGGGTAATGTATAAAGAAATGAAATGTATTCCTTATAGTTTCAGAGGCTTGGAAGTTCAAAGGTCAGGAAACACATAGGGTGAGGGCCTTGTTGGTCGGTGGTGGCCCTTCACAGCAACACAGGGTGTCACACATGGCTAGAATGGCTGAGCAATAGAGTTATCCTTCTCACTTGCTCTCCTTGTAAAGCCATCAATGCAGTGCCAATTACACCATGAATGGATCAATTCATTCACAAAAGCACAGTCCTCACAATCTAATCACCTCTTTAAGGCCCCATCTTTCAATTACCATAATAGGATTTCCCACCTTCAACACTGTTACAAAGGGAATTGTTTCAGTGAATTTTGGGAGTACATTCAATCTACAGACTAGGGATAAAAAAAGATCTGTAAATTTCTCATTAATAGGTATATTTCCCTGAAGTTCTTAGTTTGTAAATCAACATACTGCAATCCCTTAATTTTGGAACCCAAATTCCAAAAGAAAAATATCAGTCAGGTTCAGCTCTCTGGGTTCACTTAGGAATGGATTGAAATGTATGTTGCTTCATTTTGGAACACCACTAATTTAAGTTTATTATGAGATTATTCCAATCTCAGAATAATAAACACTAAAAAGCATATGATAAAGTAACCCTTTTTGGCATAAAAATGTATTTTATTGGTAATTTGTTTTCCTAAGTAACAATCAAATTTATCTGAAATTTAAATTTTGTGCTTTTTAAAAAAAGTTATCATGGAAGACGCAACTCTTCCAACATGGCAATCATTGATGTGAAGATGCTTTCGGGATTTGTACCTGATAAATCGTCAGTTCAGAAGGTAAACAATTAAACGTTGTTAACTAAAATAACTTTAGAATAGCTGTAAAGTGTTAGGCCCTGTGCTGTACATTGGCCACAAGTTGATGGGGAAAAACACATTTTTTTACTCTTAAGAGATGAAATTTAAATATCACGTGTATCAAATAGGAAAACATTGCTTGAGGGTCTCAAATTTATGTTCTTATATTGGAAAGACAGTAAACCATTGAAGAAAAAAAACATAAAGATGAGTTGGTGTTTAGTTACAGTTATTCTATTCTGTTTTATTATTCTATTTATTAAAAGTCAGAAACTAATATGCAGATAGATCTCTCAAAAATGTTGAATGAATGAGTCTCAAAGAATAACATTTGTTGTTGATGCTATATGGAAACATTGCAAGTATTTATAAAGGTGCAGGAAAACCAACAAATTGAAATAAAATATGTTTTATCTTTGATGAACTAGACGTTTGTATTACTAGTTCCTTGAATTTTCAGCACATTTTTTTCCCACTTTATTTTTAGCTTCAGAAAGATGGCAAAGTACAACAAGTAGAAATCAAAACCACCCATGTCTTTTTCTATCTGGAGAATGTAAGTTCACTGTCATAATTTGATTTGTGTGGGTGTATGCCTGAGACACAATGTGGCTTAGTTTTTGGTTTTTATAGTTTTTATAATTTTTCTACAGACATAAGTACCAAAATAGCATTGCTAAAATAATTCTGAATATTGGAAATGGATAGGAATTAAGAGAGTACATTTCAATATGCATAACAATATCGATTTATTCCCAGGTTACTCAAAAGGAAATTCAGTTCTCTTTCTCTGTTGAACAAGACGCTCTTGTGTCCAACGTCAAGCCCGCGTCTGTTCAGCTCTATGATTACTATGAAACTGGTAAGAATTTGACTTAGTTTTACTGCCGTTTATATTCTACATTTAACTAAACACAAACAAATTTTCATTTTCTCTATTTGTATTATAGTTTCTATATTTGAAATCTTCTTCCCTTATTTGGTGTTTTGTAACTTTTCATACCACCTATTACAAAAAGCTTCAGAATTTTAATAGCAAATTAAGTTTGAGATTTTTTTTCTATATAAATATAGGCACAATTGGCATGATTTTTTCTAGCCAGTCTTTTTATTAAAATGTTCATTTAAATTACTTGAGCATAAGTGTGAAGTAAGCTATCTGGCTGAATAAATTATAGATTCAAGCCAAACAAAGTTAATGGCTATGAATATTATCATACAATTTATTTATGCATTTGTATGAATTAGAGGACAGAAATTATATGTTTATTCAAATAGAGAAAGAAACATACAATATTAGAGAAGATAGAGATATGTTAGTGAAAATATTCTGATAAAGCATATTTTTTAAAACCACAAGCATTTATTATTCCTCACAATTCGATGGATCAGCCAGACTGACTGGTTTAGACTGACTAGTGTGAGCTGGCTCAGTTATTCTCTCTTCAAATTGTTTCTGCATCTGTGGTCAAATGTAGATCAGCTGGCTGGATGATCTAGGATGTCCTCATTCAAATGTTTAGCAGGTGACAGGCTCTGGCTGGCTGACTGCTAGCTGAGTTGACTTGTTCTGGCCTCTCATCCTTCAACAGACTGATTTGGGCATTTATCTATTTATCTAGTTAGCTATGACCTATCTATCCATATTTTGCTCAGTACAGTAGAGTTTTAAAACATAAAAAATATATAATCAGAACTATTTTGTCGGGTAATTTGGGTTTTCTTTTCTTTTGATTTTTTTTTTTAGCCAAGTTTTTATTGTGTTGTGGTTTTTAACCAAGGCTCAGGAAAGGCAAATTCCTAATTATAACACAAAATAAGTAAGTGGCAGAGTGGGTCCTTTGTCTTGAAATTAAAGCTTATCTTCACTACAACACTTTTCTTTCTTTAGATAAAAATTATGTATATTAATAAATTAAAATATAGGTCTAATAACCAATCAAAATATGAAAATGACAAGTTAATTATTTTTAAGTCAGATGATCTCAGCCAGTAAATGACTCATGGACTTTAAGTAAAAAAAAAAAACAAAA